GTGTGCTTCTTCCATGTGGGCTTTGTTGTATCTCAGTTAGATGGCCACTTTTTTACCTTCCAGTCTATAGGACCCCAGATTCCATATCTTTTGATAGCCAGGCATCATCAGCTTTCTTCACCGCATTTGCTTATGCACCTACTTGTCATCAGCAATCGTGTCTGGGTAGGCTGGTGTGCTTCTTCCACGTGGGCTTTGTTGTTTCTTAGCTAGATGGCCCGCCTGTTTATCTTTAAGCCTTTAAGACCCCAGGCGCTATATCTTTTGATAGCCGGGCACCATCAGCTTTCTTCACATTTGCTTATGCGCCTGCTTAGTCCTCAGCGATGGAGTTGGGACAGGCTGGTGTGCTTCTTCCATGTGGGTTTTGTTGTTTCTCAGCTAGATGGCTGCTTGTTTATCTTCAGGCCTTTAAGGCCTCAGATGCTATATCTTTTGATAGCCGGGCACCATCAGCTTTCTTTACCAAGAGTGTAACTCTTTATGGGAGTAGAAAGCCTCTTCTTTCTCCCATGGAGCAGCAAATGGTTTCGAACTGTTGATCTTGTGGTTAGCAGCCCAACTTGTAACCTCCTATGCCAGTGGGTCTCAGCCTTCCTTGTGCCGCCACCCTTTAATAGTTCATGTTGTGGTGACCTCCCCAACCATAAAATTATTTTCGTTGCTACTTCATCACTGTAATTTTGCTACTGTTATGAATCGGGTGAACCCTGTGAAAGGGTCATTCGACCCCCAAAGCGGTTGCGACCCACAGATTGAGAACCGCTGTACTATGCCACCACTTTATTGGATTTAATTTACCTTAACATTAGTACAGACACAATGACAATTCCAATTTTCCAACAAAGCAGGTGGTAACAGTTTGGTGTAATGAATCATCTTAAATACGTATCTTAAAAATTAATGAAATATGGCTTTTCAAAAAGGAGCCCTGGTGGCATAGTGGTTAACCCGCACGGTCAGCAGTTACAGTCTCAAAAACTCCCAGTGGCAGTTCTACCCTGTCCTCTCGGGTCATGAATCAGAACTTGCTCAATGGCAGTGACTTTGGAGTTTAGTATTTCAAAGGACAAAAGTGGGAGAAGTATGAGGAATAAAGTTTTATAAGGTGATGGTAATGGTTGTACAACATTGAAAGTAATTGGTGTTCAGAGACTACATCTGACATGGCTTCAATGGCAAATTTTAAGCTACCTATATTTTAAACAATCGTTTAAAAAAAAACTGAATAGTTAAGGAGATTGATTTTATTCAGGCATTGCAATAGAGAGCACCCAGAAGATAAAGTCTCAGCCAGGTGGTTTTGACTTAAGCAAGACTCTTCCTCACTGAATAGATTTCAGTTCTTTGCCAAAGATCAGCTGTCTATAGGTGAATGGCTTTACTTGTTCTCAATTCTGCCCCATTGGTCTGTGTGGATCATTGTAGCAGTACCAGTTTTTGATTACTGTGCCTAGTAGATTGTTAGTTTGGGAAGTGTGAGGACTCCTACTTTGTCCTTTATGAATGCTTTGCTAATAGGTCTCTCCTTTCCATCTAAAGTTGGTAATTACTATGTCCATCTCTCTACAGACCGTTCATGGAATCTGGAGCTAAACCCAAACCAAACTCACTGCCATTGAGACAATTCTGATTCATAGTGACCCTAGAGGTCAGGGTAGAACTGTCCTTTTCAAGAACCACCTTTTTAGGGAAGTAGAAAGCCTCATCTTGAGTGGAGCAGCTGGTGAGTTTGATCTGCACACCTTGCAGTTAGCAGCCGAACGTGTAGCCACTATGCATGCCACCAAGGCTCAGAATCTGGATCAGGAATGCATTGTAGAACACTGTAGGTAATAATCTCCCAGGATTTTCACAATATGGGATTTTCTTGGGCAGGGGTCAGATCATTTTGAGTTGGAAGAGTCAATCTTGTCCCTCACAACAATTTAAAAATCATCTGAGTCATATTTTTACAAACAATGACCATTATCTGAATAATATCCTTTAAATGTCTTCAATTTTACTTCAGAGCCATATGTGCATAACAAAAGAGCTGCAGATGGCTAGAGGGCAGCAGTTTGCCGACCCCTGTTCTTGGGAATTAATGACTTTTTCACAACGTTAAGGCTTATCCATGAGCATGGGATTTTTCCCATCTATGTAGGTTTCTTCTGATTTCTTCCAGTACTGTTTTCTAGTTTTCTTTTATAAGTCTCTTGTATCTCTGATTAGGTTCATTCCTAGATAGTCTGTCTGATGGGTGCCTATTACAAGTGATACTTCCTTTCCAGAGGGGTTTTTTAAAACAGGAATTTGGCTGATTTTTATCTTTTGGCTGGCTGATTTTTATATGTTGATCCTATGCCCTGCCACTTTGCTGAATCCTATTAGTTCCGGAAGCTTTTTTTGTAGAATCTTGGGATTTTCTCTGTATAGGATCATCTGGAAATAGGTTGCTGCAGGTTTGAACCCATCCAGTAGTACTGATAAAAGTCCTGATGATCTGCTTGTAAAGATTATAGCCGAGAGAATCCTATGGGACTCAGCCCCACTTGCAACACTTGGAATTGCTATGAGTTGGGTGTCAACTCTATTGAAGGCTAATAAATATCATAAAGTCAGATGAACAGATGGATAGTTTTGAACAAAATAATCCACGCATATAAAGTTTGTGTGTCTCTGACAATACGCACAGTGTTCTGGGTAGCATCAATAGAAATGTACACTGGGTTCACTTAAGCCAATGTAGAAAATATTGTGAATTGAAGCCATTTTTTTGAAATTCTCATATTAAAAATTCCTAAGAATTCCACAGACGATCCCATTAACAGACCTTTTGTTTTAAGTTACACATTTAAAGGTCTTGCTTCTTTGCACACTCTCCCAGGAGCTTCATCTTCTGGTGGGAGAAAACCTGCCCTGCCCTAGAGAGTCGTCAGCCGCTTGCCTGGAGTCATGTTCGAGTAAGTGAAGAACGCCCGGCTTACTGCATCACCACTCTGGAGAGCTCTTGGCCCACGATGGAATTTAGTCTGCTTTTCTTATTAAAATACGTACACCCAATGAAGATCAGAAACAGTTAAAGAATTGATATGAGCCAAGGTGTTTACGTTCTAAGCCTTTTATTTACTGTGTACTGTGTTAAACTTTTAGAATAAAAAATGTAAATAAAATCCATGAGCTATTTTGTTATGTATTTGGCATGGTCATGATATAATGGCATGCACTTCTAGTCTCCTCTAAC